ATGGATTCCTTCAGAGTCAAGCTGATCATACCATCTTTTACAAACGTTCTGAAAGCAATAAAACTGCAATTTTGATTGTCTATGTAGATGACATTGTGCTTACAGGTGATGATGAAGTAGAACTGGCTACTTTAAAGAAAAGACTCGCAAGCGAATTTCAAATCAAGGACCTAGGAACRTTAAAGTACTTCCTASGAATGRAGTTTGCAAGATCTAAGAAAGGTATCTTTGTTAACCAAAGAAAATATATTCTTGATTTAYTTAGAGAAACARGTTTGCTTGGATGCAAGGTAGCTGAGACCCTTATTGAACCTAATTTGAAACTGGAAGCTGCAAGAGAAGAAGAAGTAAAGGATAAGGAACGATATCAAAGTCTTGTGGGAAGACTCATCTACTTGTCTCACACACGTCCAGATATTACCTTTGCAGTAAGCATGGTAAGTCAATTTATGCACTCACCAGCATCAGTTCACTTTGAARCTGCCTATAGAATTTTAAGATATCTGAAAGGAACTCCAGGAAAAGGTATATTGTTCAAAAAACACAACCATTTGCAGGTTGAAGTTTATACCGATGCTGATTGGGCAGGAAGTATGACAGATAGAAGATCTACTTCTGGTTATTGTTCATTTGTTGGAGGTAACTTAGTAMCTTGRCGAAGTAAGAAACAAAATGTAGTKGCTAGAAGCAGTGCTKAAGCAGAATTTAGGGCYCTGGCCCATGGTATTTGTGAAGGGATGTGGATAAAAAGGTTACTTGAAGAATTGAGAGTATTTCAGAAAGCACCCATAAAAGTTTATTGCGACAACAAGGCTGYCATCTCCATAGCCSACAATCCAGTTCAACATGATAGGACTAAGCATATTGAAATTGACAAACATTTCATAAAAGAAAAAGTTGATACCGGCGTGATATGTATCCCTTACCTCCCAACAATGGAGCAGACTGCCGATGTGTTGACAAAAGGACTACCAAAAGTACAATTTGACAAGATGGTTGACAAGCTGGCAATGGAAGATATCTTTCAACCAGCTCGAGGGGGAGTGTTGGTTTATTATTTGTAAATATTAGCTGTAAATTAGTTGTCAATATTAATTATTATTTTATCTTTATTTCCATTTATGTTTGAGCCTATCTTCTATATAAGAAGGCCATGTATTTCTTATGATTAATAAATTGGAATACAAATAATTTGATTYTATCCAAACTAAGTGATTATAAACTATGGTCATTATAACATACACTTATATGGAGATATAAACTATATCTGGCTATAAACTATGACTTATATATGAACTATAAAGTATATACGGCTMTATCTCTCTACAATTAACAAATAAAGCAAATAACTTACATAATCAAATATATACGACGTTACCATCGCATACGTTTTAAATACCCCAAAATCGAACACCCAAAATCATAAATAAAAAGCAAACATATAATATTTAAAATGTAAACGTTGGAAAACGGGYTCGGAAACAATGGTGAAAAGCGCCGAGCGAATCAGAAACTGGCTACCGWAGACAGTAACAACAGAAAACGAAGAACGCTGAGAATACGAGGAGACGACCTGCAGGAAACAATGATGAAAAATAAGAGAAAAGAAGACGAATGAAGAAGAGGAAGAGATAACTGAAAATTTGGGAGGTTTTTTTAGGGGAGTGAAAAGGTGCATAAATTTAGGGATTTAAAATTTAAAYCCCAAATCAACTATTTTTCCATTTTTAATTTCAATATCTTAATAATAATTACATGTATATAAAAAGGATATATTGGTAAAATACAAATAGGTTCTATCTTGAAGGGGTGTATTTTAAGATAAAAGTGTAAATTTTGTAGAATAAATTCATTTGTGTAATTATCATCTCCAAATGGTCTATCAATATACCCTAATTTTGTCGATGCAATATACCCTAATTTTGTCGATGCGGAGCCCTTCTTGAGATTTTGGAAGGGAGACAATATTCTATCTAACAAGGTGGCAACCGGGAGACAATATTCTATCTAACAAGGTGGCAACCTTTGGTATCGCCTTGTTTCGTTAATTGTTGTTTCTGATTAGTTGAGAGAGTTGATTTAATTTTATTAGTTAAGATAATTGATTTAATTGTTTCTGATTAGTTGAGAGAGTTGATTTAATTTTATTAGTTAAGATAATTGATTTAATTTTATTTTTTATAGTATTGATACGTAGGGAGGTGGAGATTCTAACTCATGATTTTTTGGTCGATTCTAATCCGATTCTAACTCATGATTTTTTGGTCGAAGATATATGTCTTAACCAATCAAATTCAAACTTATATCCAATTTAATTTTATATTAATCAAATTCAAACTTATATCTTTTTTTTTTATCGAAGATACATGCTTTAATCAATTCAAGTTCGAGATTTAATTTTTCGCGACTTTTTCGGTTAGAGATAGATGTCTTAACCAATTAACTGATTTGATCTTAATTAGATTCCAACGCATATTTTTTTTTCTTCAGTATTCAGATAATTAAATTGGAGCAAAAGAATTTGGTACTTCCAAAAATATTCATTACCCTGTAGAGTATCGGAAACAATCATTACTATGTTACTATGTGGAGAATGATACTTGTACTCAACCTACTATATTATTAGACTTGCAAAATCAACTAACAATCAGCAGAGATAAAAATATTTAGAAAGAGAAAATTTGAAAGAGAGCAAAAACTTTTAGAAAGAAATACAAAGTTAGAGACATTGCAAAAAAATTAAAAGGAACAAAATTTCGGATAGAACAAAGGGGTACAAAATTTTGCAGATAGAAAACAAGTTAGAGAGGAAAAAAGTTAAAAAGAGAGACAAAAATTGAAGAGAGTTTGACAAAAATTATAAAGAGAGACAAAAATCTAATGAGTTAAGTGATGCTTTTGAATGTCACAGAAAATGTTTATTACAAATAGAAAAACTTCTTTGAATGGCGCAAGTAAAAAGAGAGAAAAATCATCATTAATTTTTAATAAATGTTACCAACCTCTTTCAAGGGTATGTTTGAGGCAGTGATTTTGGTTATTGCCAAAACATTTCAAGTGAATTTTTTTCCTTCCAAATGTGACTTACCTCATGTCAAGTGCCAAATTCATCTTCTCGATTACAATACAAGTCATCTTATGAACTGCATGCAAGGATTGGTGTCTAGTAAATTATCAATAATTTCAGCTCAGCCAGTCTTTGCCAAGCTCCATCAACCACCCACAGCCAAGCAGTGAATCAGGTCCTTGACATCAACCATACATCAAAAAAATCTAACATTTTGCTGATTTTGCATTCGCTCCCAACCATATTATATGAGAAATGGCACCGTTTATATTGTGGAAACGGGCTTTAGTTCCAATTTTCTTTCCTCTCTGTATTATACGAGAGCTCATACTTTCTCCCTTTTTCTTTCCTCCACACCAAATCCATTTGTAAAGCAAACTTTGCACACAAAGAAAACCGTACGATAATATAGTAGGAGAGCAAAACAGCCTCGATTACATATATTTATATAAGGCTTTATTTATTCAAACATTCGACACTACAAAGCACACGACCATGTGCTGTTCGTGTCCGATTGTGCGTAGGCATTACAGAGACCATTTAGAAGTCGCATCGCTGTGGGCGAACTCCGCACATGGCTGGCAACATCCTAGCCTTCTGGAGCATCTGACTTCCTTCTTGACCACGCTCCTGTCTCTGTACCTCACGAGCAATCTCCTGCAACGCGTCGCACCTGCACTGCTCCTCCACGTTCCTCAACTGTCGGCAACACTCTTCCAAACCTTGCTGTCTCTCCCACTGGTTCTCCTCCACTCCCTTCATCTCCAAATATCCTCTGCTCTGTCTCAAGAAGCTCTCGCAGCTGCGGAGCTGCTCGCGGGGCCTGATGTGGTGGCACCTCTCGTGGCGGCCTTGGTTGTCTTCGTCCACCTCCACAGTGGTGATAGTGGTGCGGTAGGCGTACACATCTGTAAGCAGCAGCGCAACTGCCAAGAGGACAACCATGCTTGAGAGTCTGGCCATCGTTGTTGTTAGAGGAGCCTCTTTTGCAAATTGGGAAGTGGGGAAAGGAGTGCGTGAAAAGAAGAAGAGGGTGAGTTGCATTTATAGGAATTGGTGAGTGGTGCATGTGGGAAACGTGGAGGGGTGAGTGTGATGTGGGTTTCGGTGGATGTCATGGTGGGGTACAGCGTTGTGTTGAGCTTCCACGTGAACATGCAAAGGAGAAGCAGAATGTTGAAGGTGGGATTTTGGATACAAATGGCAGTGTTTGTTTCTGTTACTGCTGGGCGGGAGTGGGTACGTGGTCGTTTTGCCGCTAACATGATTTTGTGTGGCATTTCTTCGTAGTACAATGCGATTTCCCTTTTACAGAATTATTTATTTTTATTTTTTTACAGATTTATTTATTTTTATTTTTTTACGGATTTATCTTGCTGTTCTGATATGTTTTAAATTATTTAGGCCGGTTTGATAACTATTTCATTTTTTGTTTATACTTTTTGAAAAATAGAATTATTTGATAACTCATTCAATTTTCTGTTTTTTTTTTCAAAAATCATTTTGAAATTTTATGTAAATTTCAAAAAAAAAGAAAGTTTTCAGAAATAGGTTTTTGTTATTCAAAATCTCATTTTTTCTTCTACTACTCAATTTTTTTTTCTCTCTCATATTTATCTTTAAAAAATTTATTTTTCACTCTAAAATTTTTTTATTTCTAAATTTCTCTCTTCAAATTTTATTTTTATCTCTCTAAAATTTTCATATTTTGAATATTTATTGTTATTTGTCTCTCCAATTTTTTCTGTATTTTTGTTTTTTTTTTCTAATATACTACTTTCATTTCTCTCTAAAAATTTAATATTTTTCCTAACTTTTTTCTCTCTAAAATTTCATATTTTATAACTTTTATTTTTCTTCGTAATCTATTTTTTCTCTAAAAAAYATATTTTATTTTMTCATTCAATTTTCTTTCACTGCAACTTTTACTTTATCTATATTTATTTATTTTCTATAAAAATTATATTTTGAATCTTGTTTTTATCCCGTTTTCACTATAGACTTTCTCTTTCTTTATAATTTATTTTTTTCTTTAACATATATTTTCCTCTCAACTTTATTTTTTTTCTTCAAAATTTTTCTCTTTTTGTCTTTAACTTTTCTTTAACTATTTTTTTCTAAATATTTTCATTTATCTCTCTAAAATTTATGTTTCAAAAGTTTATTTACATCTCTATTTTCATTGCCTCTACATTAGGGCAAGACAAAAATTTCTATAGGGTCGGGTCCCAAAAACAGAAAATGCATGTCCCAACCCTCTCCCGGTTCCCGATTCCATTTTTTAAATAATTAATATATATTTATTACACTTTTTTATATTTGAATTCTAAAAATAATTAAAAACAATTATAAAACCAATAATTTTTCTCCAGAACATCTTTCGGACCCAAGAATGAGGTGGAGACAGAGATTAAACGTTTTCTTGAGCCTGATAACGAGGGAGAACATTCTCACTYGCACCCACACCATTGTTCACTCTACTCTCCATAAAATTTTCTCTCTCTAACAGTATTTTCAATTTTCTAACTTTTTAAAAACAAAAACTAAAAATGGTTACCAAAGACGTTTTGGTTTTTTGTTTTTTAAAAACAAAAAAKGATTATCAAACATATATTATTTTTGTTTTTTAAAAACAGAAAACCAAAAACCAAAAACTAAAAATAAGAAAAACCAAAAACCAAAAACTAAAATAGTTATCAAACGGGCCTTATTTACGGATTTATTTGGTATAGTTTTGCTTACGTTATAAATTTGGTTCTATAATTTTAAAATTTGCAATATTGGTCTACTTTGTCATGGTCTAATTTTAATTTTATTTGTTTAATTTTAATTTAGTTACCCAATAAATTGAAATAAATATTGTAATTTTTATTTTAAACTTTAAAGTGCAGCAATATTTATCCTACTGGAGATTTTCGTTTGAAATTTTGATAGAAAAATATTATCATACGTGTCAAATGAGTTATATGAGTTATGATATGAAATTGATAAAACTCATAAAGAATGACAATAGAGCTGGGTTATTTTTATTTTATCTTTTAAAAGCTTCGGTAGAGTTATTTTATTGTCGATTTTGTGTATTAAAGAAATTTTACTTGGTGCAAAACTTGATTTTAATTAAATTGGTGAGTTTTTTACATTATTTTTGTTTTAAATTAATGGGTGAATTCTTGAAAATTGAATATTATCAAAGTTTATGGTTTAATTTGGATGAAATTGAAAGTTTAGACTACAAATTGATGAAATTTACAAAATATAAGGGCGAAAAACGATTTTTTTTCAAATATAATTTTGATGCATTTATTATAAACATGCAGATTAAATAATGGTATTGAAAACTAAACTAAATCCATTAAGTAAGATATTTTAGTTTAATTTGTTTAGTTATGGAACAAATAAAAATAATTGGATATTCATTATTTGATATTAGCCTGTTGATAATATAATATAATAAAATTATCAATATAGATATAGAAGAAAGATAATGTGTGCTAAAGAAGAAGAAAGATAATGAAACTTAAACAACTACAAAACTAGGCTTCCACAAAAGTTAGGAACAGTATAAAAGATT